TTAAAAAAAAAAAAAAAAAGAAATGAGGAGAAACAGTCCTGATAAGGGTTGAGCAGCTTGCTCCAGTTACTCTTCTAATACTCGTCTAATTTAATTCTACCTTCCATGTCAGGAGATACTCCATTACCCTTCCAATAAATTCCATCTTTGTCTAAGTCAATGTGAGACTTCTGTCACCAGAAGGAGCCTGATTGAAACATCACAATATCTACTACACAGTCAAATACTTTCGATGACAAATTGCGGATAGGACAACCCTATGCATATTTATTTTACCTCCTACAGAATCATTCAACTTACTGGAGATAACAATATCATGCCTGGAGGCATCCAGGATCAGCTTCTCTTGATTTCTGAATCATTTTAAAGTCAAAATTTTAGATACTGCATCCAAGTACTCATATGTCTTAAGGACACTTTTTCACTTAAATTCTTTTCTTCTGATCACCTTAAATTCGGCATCTTTCCCACTGATTAATTTAATCCCAAAGATTAATAATAAATCAGAAAAGCAAGGAAGAATATTTGAGGCCTGTCACATGACTGAAACATAAACAGCATAATTCTACTGATGAAATCATTTTCACATTTTTTTCCTTGTTGGCTTGAGATATTAACTACTGCTAGTGATACTATCCCACAGGATTCACGTGAGGTTTTATAACTCTTATTTCAGCAAATAACAAAGAGTATTTAAGAACAGCTAACCAGGAACACCATGGACTGTTCTTTGTGTACAGGTAATAAACTGTCATAATCACATAGTTATACCATATTCATGTAGTTACACCATTCACCACTCACATAGTTATACCATACTCATGTAGTTTATACTATATTCAGATATTCAGATAGACCAGTTTTTGGAATTAAAGTGAAAAAAAAACACAAGCATTTGAGAAAATATAAACTTAAGTTACCCAAAATAAAATTATACTGAGCCAGCTGCGCATTTCGTATTTTCTTATTTAATGTACAGCTATGATCTAAGTCAACGTCGGCCATGAACCCTTCTTCAAAAAATGCACTGGACACCTACAATAAAATAAAACACTTTCATTATGACGATATTTATGGTAGCCAGCCTCTGAGATGACCCACAGGGTATTCACACCTTGTGTCGTCTCTGCCACATTGTACCAAGTGGCTCTATGTGACCACAGAGAAGGGCAGAAGTGATGGCATGTCACTTCTGAGATGAAGCTAGAAGACTATGGCTTCCACATCTTTAACATCACTCCCTCTGGGGAAACCAGCTGCCACGTTGGGAGGGATATTCAGGGAACCTCTGAAAAAGCACCCGGGGTGCAGAACTGAGGCCTCCAACAACGAAGTGAGTGAGCCCGCGGAAGGCAGCCCTGGCCAGCGGCACAACCAGAGGCTCTTGAGGGGCCCTGAGCCAGCAGCGCCCAGCCTCGCTGCTCCCAGATTCTGACTCGCAGAAACTGTGACATAATAAATGCTTGTGGTCCCAGGTTGTTGAGTTTTGGAGTTATCTGTTATACAGCAATAGACAAGTATTCTTCCTTAATAGAGCCATGTGGAAAAGAATAACTTAAGTATGAGATGTTTTAAAATCCCCATTTCTCAAAAACATTAAGAAATAAAATAGTCCTGATCCAGCTACACAGACGTGACTCAGATGTTACTCTCAATTACTGAAAATGTGGGTTGCTAAAGTAATGTATTAGTTATGCAATATTTTAAGGCACAAATAACATTCCAAGTCAATAACCTTCACAGATGACATGCCGAGATTATTATGTACTTTTCTATCTCTGATTTTACCTGAAGTGCGTATTTTTCACAAGTTGGCCCCACAGGGATGACCATTACCTGACGAGGAGAGAGCCAGAAAGGCCTGAAAAATATATAAAATATGTATTTTCAAAATCTAATGATGATTATGTATTATGTGATTTAAAACATAGCCAAAGATTTTTTTAAAGTAAGACTTCACAAGAGAGCAGATTCAGCAGAGTGGTGTGGAAGTAAACCAAACCATATTGAGAGCTAAAAAGCAACAGGGTAGACAAAAGGGGAAGCTGGGAATTATGGGAGGAAAGGGAGGGAAGAACAGGTCAGCCACTGGGTCACACCACAGGGCAACTGCATTCCTGGGTATTTACCCCAGAGAAAGGAAAAAACATGTTCACACAGAAACCTTCCCACTAATGTTCATAGCAGCTTTATTTATAACAGCCCCAAACTGGAAACACTCCAAATGTCCTTCAATGGATGAATGATCAAACTGGTGCATCCACACCATGGAACACTATCAGCAATAAAAGGGGACCGACCACTGAGACTTGAAACGAGTTGGATGGATCTCAGTGGAATTCCACCGAGTGATTAAAGCCAATCCCACACAGTTGCACACCGTGTGATTCCATTTATGTAACATTCTTGAAATGACAAAATTATGGAGATGGAGAACAGATGAGTGGCTGTCGGAGGAGGATGATGGGGGTGGGGTAGGAGGTGTGTGACAATAAAATGGTAGCACGAGGAGTCCTCATAAGTGAACAGAACTGTCCTCTATCTTAACTGATGGTGGGTACACAGGTGCTCAAATTTTATAGAACTCAACACACACATACACACAAGTGCATGTGAACTGGTGAGACCTAAATAAGGTTGGTGGACTGTATCAAAAATTTTCTGGTCATGATATTGTATAGAGTTCTGTAAGATGCTGCCATTGAGGAATACTGAGTAAAGGGTATGCTGGACCTTTCTCCATGATTTCTTACCACTACATGTGAATCTACAATTATCTCAAAATGAAATTAAAAAAAAAAAGATGGGAAGTTGGGTATAAGCAATGTTTAATGCGGGAAATACTTCTTCATCAGTACTTTGTCTGAAGGTGAAAGGAAATGCCGTGGGCACTACCTGGCGGCACCTTATGAACACTTAGAAATTTATTCTTAAATTACAAAAGCAAAATAACGCATATGATAAAAGTAATAATACGTATAATAAAACACGGGAATACAGTGGATAAAGTGAAAAGTAAGCATTTCCTTTTGAGTTCTGTCCTCACCCCATCCCCAGGGGAGCCACATTTTAACAATTTCTATTTTGAGCTCTTGGAGAGGTGTCCACCACAACTCTGGCAGGCGTCTGAACTCTGGATAAATGGATTGCACAGCCTGTGCCCTAAGTCTGCACGGTGAGGGACAGCCCATTGAGTGCACAGCACCATCTTCTGTCTCCCACTCCATCTCCTGATTCCACTAGTTCTTTTTAGTTTTTCTAGCACATTCACTGCCACCACTCTCGGGCGAGACACCACCATCTCTTACCTACATTAAACTATTTAAAACAGGATCAACCGGAAAGAAATGTCAACGTGTTAACTCATACTTAGGTAGCATGCATGTTCTTTTGGCTTATCTGTAACTTTAACAGCTTGGACAACCCATGATACCTAAGTACATTTCTCTAAGATCACAAATCAAACTTCAGGGATGTACACAGACTCTAGCTACCCAGGACCTCTTAGAGACCCTCTGCTTGGGGAATTTCCCACCTTGTAGTGCCTGCTGAGAAATTTGCTTTCCCCAGCTGCCCTAGACATGTTCGAGTCCAGGCACGTGATCTGGCATGTACAAGCATGGTGCACGGATTTGGGACAGAGCAGCACCTGGGGGGAGGTACTACATGGAATCAATTCTGGCAGGGGTGGTGTGGAGACATGGAGCTCTGGGGGAGACCTGTGGGTCAACAATGGGAGCGCCCCAGGGTCAACAATGGGAGCTGCAGGGACTGTGCCCATCGACAGCAGCACAGAACTAAATCACAACTAAACTGCGTGAGCAGATCTCAGTCAATTTCTTCAAAATGAGATGGGAGACAAAGATGTCACACATGGTTGCTGGGCTGCAGCATTTCCACCTCCACTGGATGCGCCATCACAAGATGGATCATCTGCCACCTGGTGCCTTGACTGCCAGTAAGGCCAGTTGCTTCTGGGGGCACAGTAATACTAGCAAATCCCACCACATCAGCTCAGCACCTTCCTTCTTTTGCTAAAAAAAAAAAAAAAAAATTTACTTCCATGGTCAGAAGCATTATCGTGTTTCTGACCATTGAAGCCCAGTAAGTATTTACATGGTGCTGTTGACAGATGCATGGGAGGAAGGAAGAGCTAAGCAAATTCCAGAACTGATATCTTCTCCAGTGAGGACAAGTCACTGGCCCTTGCATGATGAGAAGGACCCAGAAAGCTGACTGTTCCCCAGGATTATGGTTCCACAGGAGGGACCAGGACTGAACCCTACTGATGGCAGATTGAGGCCTCAGAAGAGGCACTGCCAGAAGGAACGTGGGGAGGCCCATGTTGTTGAGCCCGTATCCCCGAGTGGCCACTTTGTTTGTGAACCACGGAGCAGCCACTGGGGGAAGAATGAAGCTGATGGTAACCACAGAATGGGTCCTCCTGTATTTGAATCTTTAAAAACACCCAACAGTGAGGGTTTGGGGTGGGTGACGTCACCATCATGGCCCATTCTGAGTGATGATCCATGTTCCTCCCCCTCATATCTACTTGTCATCTATTTCCAATCTAATTACTTCTAGGTCTCTGACCTTGTGGCCAAAGCAGTCACCAGAGCCCAGGCATGGCTGTAACTCCATATGTCTGGCCATTTTTCCTTCCAAGGAAAGAGGACTATGAGATGTACTCAAATTCCTGCACTCGGGGGCATTTCCCTTCCACACTTCTCCCCATTAGGTTTGTGCCAAAGTATTTTTCAGAGCCATTTGTGAACCAGGTTTACGTGTTTTTCTCCCCATGTTGATTGGGCACCCCCAGGAGGTGAACAACAAGGGTTGAAGGAGGGATGGCCATTCAGCAAGGGGTTGAACTGTACTCCCAGGATCACCAGACGCAACCAGATCTTTAAAGGACTTGAAATAGGTGAAAAGATAACTCTTCAATTCTACTGCATTCCCCAAAAGGTAAATGATACAGTTTTAGGTTGTGCTGCTTTTGTCTTCTTTGTTTTGGTTTCCTGACATGGCAGATTCAATAAGAATTGATTACTTGCTATTTGGATACTTGCTAGTTATAAGGCAAGAGCCACCAATTTTTTCGCAATAATCCTATCTTGTTCAAAATGTTCAAAATGATAGACATACAGCTTTTCTTTTCCATATCACTTACCATTTCCCCCCATAGTTTTCTGAGAGGATGGCTATCATTCGTTCCACTGACCCCAAAATGGCTCGATGAATGATCACAGGGTTCCTCTTATCGTCTCCATCCTTACTAAAAAATGAAAATTATAGATTTATGTATTCTCTTAAGATTCAATAATAACTTTATCTTCTTGCCTTCTATTTAAAAGTTATTTTCCTGAACTAGGAAAAACAACAGATTCCTTATAAATCATCTTTAAGCATATAATGTGCTATGTATTAGAAATAATAATACAAACCAAGGGAAAATGAAATATGTAGGAAAAAGCCAGGTAATATTAGAACACTATTTCTACTATAAGTCTACTGATTATCTTTGATTCTAAACTATTGGCTGTGATCAGTTTACTAATATTGATGGGCAATCTTGCAAATTATAATTTTTTTAAAAATTAACTTTATTTTGAACTATGGCTTACTTCACCAGTACTATGTTGAACAATTGTCAGACACTGAAGAAATAAAGAAAATGGATTTGTTTCTAAATTCTCATTTTCTCAGGGCACCTGAGTGGTGTAGTCGGTTGAGGGACTGACTCTTGGTTTCGGCTCAGTTGATGATCTCGGGGTGTTGGGATGGAGCCCCAGGTCAGGCACTGTACTCAGCAGGGAGCCTGCTTGAGATTCTCTCTCTCCCTGTCCTTCTGCTCCCCCCACCCCCGCACTCTCTCTGTCTCTAAAATAAGTAAATCTTAAAAAAATAGATTTTAAATTCTCATTTTCTCATAAACACTAAAGAGGAATCATGGGATGAATTCTTTTGTGAGTTATAAAGATAGAAAATGAAATTTAAAAAAAAACTTGTACTGCTGTAATTAGTTAAGCTGAATGTCATTTTACATGTTTAATGATTGCTTATATTTCTAATTTTTCTTCAATTGCCTACTGTGCCTCTTGTCCATTGTCTATTGGGAATGCGGGAGTAATTAATTTTTTTTTTAAAGATTTTATTTATTTATTTGAGAGAGAGTGAGAGAGAGAAAGAGCACAAGAGGGGGGAGCGGGAGAGGGAGAAGCAGACTCCGTGCTGAGCAGGGAGCCCGATGCGGGACTTGATCCTGGCACTCCAGGATCATGACCTGAGCTGAAGGCAGTCGCTTAACCAACTGAGCCACCCAGGCGCCCGAGTAATTAATTTTTATACATATATGTGAAAAAGTGTCTATATATAGTATACACATATACACACACACACACACACACACACATATATGTATATATACAGTAAACAAATATATGAAGACATATTAAGGAAATTAACTCCTTTTCTAATGTGGGAAATTGAAAATACTTCTTCCAAGCACATTTATTTACTTGTCCTTTGCCTGTTTTGGTACTATCTTTTCTATCATAAGTTTTTAATTTTGGACAAGTCAAGGCTGTCTTTCTCTCTCTCTCTTTTTAAATTTTTATTTATTTATGAGAGAGAGAGAAAGACAGCAAGAGAAAGCATGAGCAGAGGGGAGGGACACAGGGCAAGGGAGAAACAGACTTCCCACCAAACAGGGTGCCCCATGTGGGGCTCGATCCCAGTACCCCAAGATCATGACCTGCGCTGAAGGCAGATGCTTAACTAACAGCCACCCAGGCGCCCAAAGCTGTCTTTTTCTTTATGAATTTTAACAGTAATGTTATATAAAGAAAGAACTTTCTCCAACATAATAGAGATATTCAATATATTTTCTTCTACTACTTTGGATTTTTAAAAATTCCAGTGTAGTTAACATACAGTGTTATATTAGTTTCAGGCGTACAATATAGTGATTCAATAATTCCATATATTACTCAGTGCTCATAATGACAAGTGTACCCTTAACCCCCTTCACCTTTTCACACATCCCCCCACCCACCACCCCTCTGGAAACCATCTGTTTGTTCTCTAATAATTAAGAGTCTGTTTTTTGGTTAGTCTCTTTTTCTTCCTTTGTTCATTTGTTTTGTTTCCACATATGAGTGAAATCATACGGTATTTGTCTTTCTCTGACTGGCTTATTTTGCTTAGCATTATACTCTCTGGCTATACCCAGGTTGTTGCAAACGGCAAGATCTCATCCCCTTTTATGGCTGAGTAATATTCCATTGTAATATATACAGCACATCTTCTTCATCCATTCATCTATTGATGGACAACTGGGCTGCTTCCATAGTTTGGCTATTGCAAGTAATTCTGCAATAAACATAGGGGTGCATATATCCTTTCAAATTAGTGTTTTTGTATTCTTTGGGTAAATACCCAGTAGCGTGCTTACTGGATCACAGGGTAGTCCTATTTTTAATTTTTTGAGGACCCTCCACGCTGTCTTCCAGAGTGGCTGCACCAGCTTGCATTCCTACCAACAGTGGAGGAGTGTCCCCTTTCTCTACATCCCCACCGTTTGTTGTTGATTTTAGCCATTCTGACAGGTGTGAGGTGACACCTCATTGTGATTTTGATTTGCATTTCCCTGATGGTGAGTGATATTTAGCAACTTTTCAGGTGTCTGTTGGCCATATGGATGGCTTCTTTGGAGAAATGTCTGTTCATGTCTGCCCATTTTTAATTGGATTATTTGTGGTTTTTTGTATTGAGTTGTATAAGTTCTTTATATATTTTGGATACTAACCCTTTATCGGATGTGTCATTTGCAAATATCTTCTCCCAGTCAGTAGGTTGTCTTTTAGTTTTGTTGATTGTTTCCTTCACTAGGCAAAAACTTTTTATTTTGATGTAGTCCCAATAGTTCGTTTTTGCTTTTGTTTTCCTTGCCTCAGGAGACATATCTAGAAAGATGTTGTTATGGCCAATGTCAGAAAAACTACTGCCTGTGTTCTCTCCTAGGATTTTTATTGTTTCATGTCTCACATTTAGGTCCTTAAGTGATTTGGAGTTTATATTTCTGTATGGTGTAAGAAAGTGGTCCAATTTCATTCTTTTGCAGGTAGCTGTCCAGTTTTCTCAACACCATTTGTTGAAGACACTGTCCTTTTCCCATTGCATATCTTTGCCTCCTTTGTCAAAAATTAATTGACCGTGTAATTGTGGGTTTATTTCTGGGATTTCTATTCTGTTCCACTGATCTGTGTGTCTATTTTTGTGCCAATACCATACTGTTTTGATTACTCCAGCTTTGTAATATAACCTAAAATCTGGATTTGTGATGCCTCCAGCTTTGTTTTTATTTTTCAAGATTGCTTTGGCTATTCAGCGTCTTTTGTGGTTCCATACAAATTTTAGGATTGTTTGTTCTAGCTCTGTGAAAAATGCTGGTGGTATTTTGATAGGGACTGCATTCAGTGTGCAGATTGCCTTGGGTAACATGGACATTTTAACATTTGTTCTTCCAATCCATGAGCATGATATGTCTTTCCATTTGTTTGTGTTGCCTTCAATTTCTTTCATCAATGTTTCATAGTTTTCAGAGTACAGGTGTTTCACCTTCTTTGTTAAGTTTATTCCTAGGTATTTTTTTATTTTTGGTGTAACTATAAACGGGATTGTCTTCTTAATTTCTCTTTCTGCTGCTTCATTATTGATGTACAGAAAGGCAACAGATTTCTGTACATTGATATTGTATCCTGTGACTGTTCTAGTTCTAGTAATGTTTTGGTGGTCTTTAGGGTTTTCTCTAGGTAGTATCATGTCAGTACTACTTTAATGAATTTTTTAAAAATAGTTTATCCAGCTATAATTAATTTTTGTATCTAGTGTGCAATCTAGAATTTCACATTTTCCCTCCAAAGGGACAGCCCAGCCAATTGTCCCAATGTCATTTATTGAACCCGCCCCCTCCCCACAGGTTTGAAATGCCTCATTTCCCATGTACTATATCCTCACATAAGTCTCTATCTGGATGGTATTGCTTCATTCATATATAGCACTATTTTTTATTTGAAAAATTTAACATGTACAATTTGTGGTGAAGACTCTTTAAAACATTTATATCTACTTTTTTTTTTTAAAGATTTTCTTTATTTGACAGAGAGAGAGAGAGCGAGAGCAGGCACACAAGCAGGGAGAGTGGGTGAGGGAGAAGCAGGCTTCCTGTGGAGCAGGGAGCCCATTGGAGGGCTCGATCCCAGGACCCTGGGATCATGACCTGAGCCGAAGGCAGACACTTAACCTACTGAGCCACCCAGACATCCCTATGTCTACTTTCAAGAATAATTTTTTAAAATTGTGTTAAGAAATACAGTATTACCAGTACTTTAAAAACCTCTCATGCACCCCTCCTCAGTCATATTCCCCTTCCTCCCATCATTGCTTTTCTTGGGGGTTTTACTACCACTGAGTTTCTAAGAAAACCAACAAGCAACACACACTGTGTAGCTGTGTAATGCTGGGGTGGGACCACCAGTGGTGAGGGGAAGACTCCTTAAAGAAGAAGCCCTAACGAGTTTAGAATGAAGTAATAAACTCTTTGGTTTCCCTGAGACTTTACAGGAGCCCCTTCCACGGGAGTCAGCATGAGTCCAGGGGAACACAGGTTCACCACGGTCCAGGCACCTGGCAGCAGCTGGTGTGGACCAGGTTCAGGTCATCCCACAGTAGGGCAGCCAGGGAAGTGGCCATCGGTACTCTCTGCTTCTAAGATCTTCAGCAATCTCTAAACCTCAAGAGGTGGGGGCAGAGCAGAGTGCCTTGGGTTCTTCTCACAGTGTTTTGATTACATATTTAGATGAGTATTTTTGGATATCTCTCCTATGAACCTTATTTCTTTGGTTTTGGGACTGTCTTGTTTTCTTAAAACAAAAGACGGCTCTGTTTGCTAATCTCTGTTCTTTTATTTTTAAAACATTTTATTAGAGAACATGAAACATATAGAAAAGTAAAGAGACTAGTATAATGAACTCCCACATAACCCTCTCTCAGCTTCACCCAAATGTCAACTCACAGCTAATTTTATTTGATCTGAATGCAACCCATTCCTGACACTATCCACTGCTCCCATTGAAAGCCTCATGAAAATGTTCCTGGTATTTGTTCCTAAAGTCCACTGGTCAAATTCCTTAAATAGACATGAAACTTTGATGACATGTACCTTACACTTAATGATTCCCTCCTTCCCTTCCAAAAAAAGATGGAAAAAACAAA